AGACATAAATCCATGAAACCTTTATTGAGTTTTCTTCCTTCCCTAAATTTCTTACCTATAACAAGAACGACAATCATTTAACCCACACTAAGTGGGGTTGGTTAAATGAACCCTTTTTCTCCATTGTGTCCTATTGGGTATCATACTTTCATTATTCTACTATATTAAGATCATTTTTATGCAACATGCACAAGCCTTTTTTAAGATTATCTACCTTTCTTAACACAAGTCAAATCTGAAATATCTACCCTCTTAATTGGGTCATCAGTTAGTCAACGATTGATGTGACCAAACCATCTAATGTTACTCTCAGATCTTGTTTGCCATTAGAGCTACTCCAACCATTTCATGGATATATTTATTTCAAACTTTGACTCTTAATACAAAGTCACTCATTCACCTTAAAATAAGTCTAAAATTACTTTTATGCTTTTTTTGTAGGCTAACATTCTACACCATAATGCATTGCAAGCCTCACCGTCGTCTTATAAAATCTGTGCTCAAGTTTACTTGGTACTTTTCTATCACACAATAGGTCTTATGCATTCCTTCACTTTAACCAACGAACTTGAATTTACTAATAACATCCCCATCTATATCGTCATCATTTTCAACAATAGACCCGACATATCTAAAATGTTCATTCTTTTTAATGACTTGATCATCCATTGTTATAATCCCGCCACTAGATCCACTACTACTAAAATTGCATTTAATGCATTTAGTTTTAGATCTAGGCAAATGAAAGCCTTTAAACTCTATGGTTAACCTTTATAAATCAACTTTTTCTGAACTCTCTCTAGTGTAATCCACAAGAATGATATCATTAACAAAAAGCATACACCAAGGTACATCCTCTTGTAAATGTCCAGCAAAAACATTCATAGCCAAAGAAAAAAAAATGGGAACTTAAAATTAAAGCCAATCCCTAAATTATTTACCCATAATTAGGTATATACATAGTTAAAGTCGGATACATATCTTCCTCAATATATTCTGATTGGAGCGAAGATGAAGGATGAGAAATATGAGAGTTTCAGATGTCTCTATAAGCCACGTACCATTGTTTCCTTCCCAGCTGGCTCTAATGATGACTGTATTGCGATGCTTCGTCGACGACGAAAATAGTTTTGAGAAAAATCATGAGGGAGAGGAAGGAGGGCGAGGGCTTCAGAAAGAAGGAGAGGCGCAAGGGTTTCGAAAGGCGCGAAAAAGAAAAATGAAGATTGGCGGGCGGGAGTAGTATTTTTGGTCTTTTGCGTCGGATTTTTGTCTCTTTTGCGTCGTAAATTTTTTACACTCTTAAGTAACGCGGAAGCCATGTTATTTGCATCTTACGTCTTTTTTGCATCCTAATAATTCAACGTTTTTAAATAAATTTTTTGTGTCGTTTTATTCGACGCAAATTTAATGCAAATTTCATGGCAAATCAACTTTACACTTCCCTATTTTTATGGTACCTTTTGTATCAAATTATTGAACGAAAAGTGGATGCAAAAGCTATCACAAATAGTATAATTTATTTTGTGTTGCTTTACTGCCGCAATTCATACGTTAATATTTTCAACTGAAAAATCCTATGCAAATTTCAGACGCCAATTTCACCTTCTCCTGTAGTGTTTCATCATTTTGTTATTCCTTGTTTGTTGTTGGAGACTAAATCATCATTGGGTTTATGATGAGTTTTGATCGGGCATTGTCTCCAGTAGTGGAATATTATATCAAGCACCATAGAATATTAATCATTAGATGTGGTATGACAATGTATGTGTTGTTCTTAATCAAAATGGGTTGCCATATATTCCTAGTATGTCAGTGAAAATATAAAGCCTAAAGTGTTGAAGGCAAGCTGACTAATTGGTAGTAGATTCCTTAAGTGAAATGAGGGCTTTGATTCTTGATCCTCTTCTATGTTAAAGCTTTTGAAGCTTAAGATGATCAATCCTTAAATGACAGAGGCTTGTGGGATGCATGGTAGCAAGTAAGGTATTAGTTTACGAGAATCAAATGTGGATCTAAACAAATAAATTAAAAATACATCCAACAAATATAATAAAAAGTGGGCGAGGAGAACGAAATGCAAAAATAAAAGCTACTTGAGTGGATATTAAGAGCATGAAGAAGTTCTAAAATCAGACCATGATCAACAAGATTATTCCTTACATATTAGTGACAATTGAGGCAAATATGATGAGATTATTGTGAAAGTGGAAGAAGTCACTTTGATTTTTATAGAGGCTCCACCACATAAGAGTTGATGAGTGATGTGGAACTTCTGTGCGTTATAAATGTTTTTGAACACCACAACACACAAGACAACTATACTAAAAAATATGCAGATTTAATCTCAATAAAATTTACTCTCAATAAAATTTACTTCAATATAATAATTTTTCTCTTTTAAAATATTTAAAGTTGTCACTCATAGTGAATTAAGGTGTATTTTCAATTTCAAATCATCACTAGGTTGCAAACACAAGTATACGTATCACTTAAGTGATGAAGGACTCAAATGGAGTTCTAAATATCAATCCCACAGGGAGGGGAACATTTGTTACGAAAATCTCTCAAAAGCTTAATATTTAAACTATAGAAAATTTAACTAAGAAAATAGGTCGACATTTGCCACTAAAGAAACTACGTTTACTACACTGATCTTTAAACTTCCAAGCTAAATTTACTAAAAACTAAACTAGGTTTTGTGCGCAGAGTTCAAATTTAAGAAAGCATTCTCTCCCTTACAACGAGATTATAGTCAATGAATTATCAAATTGAAGAAAATTGTATTGTGTCAAATATGAACAATTTTATTTTTTTTCATTTTTACAAGTGACAAAGAACATTGGCCAATCCAGTGTTTAGTCCTAAAATCCACAGTTAGGCTGGGAAGATACTGGCTCTCACTCTAAATTTCCCACATTCCCCTCGCCTGAGGGATAACATCTCGCTTTAGTTTTCAAACGTCTATGCCAAATTGGGGATTTTAGTTTGTCACCCTAAAATCTCCAATTCTACACTCATCAATGAATATTTCCTATTTATTTGTACTCAAGCCCATGAAATGCATTCTCATTCATGAAATCGAATGTGATTCTTATTTTATTGTAGAAAGCATAGTCCTCTCGGATCGTATGTTTCACAACAAATTCGAACAATTCAATCGGTCAGATCGAAATGTAAATGAAGTTTGAAGTTTGAATCACCACAATGATCATTTCTCTTTATAGAGAGAAAGATAAAAAAATATACTCATAATTCATAAGGAAGATACAAAAAAACAAGGATTATATATACTCGATCTCTTCCCCAAGAAAATCCCTTGAAGTTCCTTTGAATCTCTTTCTCTCTTTACAATAACACTCAAATCTCTCTTAGAAATGTTGGAAGAAGAAATCTCTCACTTTCCCTCTCCTCTTACAACTCTTAGAGACACTTACCACATTCTCCCACACTTTGATACTCACGCCCCCTTCACTCACACCTTTTTCTGACATAAAAACACTCCTTTATAATGTAGGGACGAATTTCCCAAGAGTCTCCATAGACATCTCTTCAAAATCTGTCTAAATTCAATACATTTGTGAAAATAATCGTCTCTGGCGCCTAAGCGCTGTCTTCTCTGTATTCTAATGCTTAGGCGCTAGTTTAATTTTTTGAAAACATCACTTTTGACTATAAATTTTGTTCTTTTTGCATCTTTTAAGCTCCAAATGCCTAGACTTAGTATACATACAATAAAATATGAATATATCTTTTTTTAAAGTGCAATAGCAATGAATATAAACCTTATATATATATATATATATATATGTAATTGAATATTTTTTTTGTGTATCAATGAGATACATCAATTAATGTGATTAATGATAGAAAGGAGGCTTATGAATGGAGGCTCATGATGAGCTATAGTGAAGACCAAGGATGGAACAATCCTATTCTATTGTGAAAGACAGTCTCTACTTGTGAACATTTTGGCCCTAAGAAGATGAACCAAACCTCTAATCATGTGTCAAAGATGGCTCCTAACTTATGGTGAAAATATGGGAGGTTAAAATGAAAGATGCCATGACGTGAAAAAAATTTTAAGAATGAGCATCATACATGGTGGAATAACTTATGAAGGCCGAGACACACATGGATTGAGATTATTGCTTTTGTTCATGGTATAACATGGCTTCGTGCTTCATTATGACCAAATTAGTAAATATAAATTTCATGGAAAGTTAACCTTTCTTGCCTTCCAACACTAAGAGGGAAGGGATGGAGGAAGGATGAAGACTTTAGTGAAGAACAGGAGGATTCCTTTTAATGTAAGTAGTTCATGTCTCAACATTATTGGGTTTTTATGCTCTCTTTCTTATTTAAGGAAGGAGAGCTGCTTTTATAGGCTTTAGGTTGGTTGAGGTAGTCAAAACGTGGAAATTGAGTGGATGAAATGGTTTTAAGTGATCATTGAAGAAGCAAAATGGTGCAAGCCTTAGATTTATCTGTTTGTTTATCCACTAGCGTCGTAAATAGGATCCTTACCAAAGTTATATTTTAAAAAGAATCTACTGACATGTGGTGTGCTTGTAAGAGATCTCATAGCAATTATTAAATATGTTCGGTTGATTGTTTATGAGAACTTAAGAGGTGTGCATGAGTTGACAGATAGACATCATTTGCCACATTTGGACATTATGTGAGAGAATTCCTGTCACTTTTGAATCTATTGGATAAGATGATCTATGTTAGATGAAACACGGGCCTTATATTTGAAATGATCTTTTAAAGAATTATTTATTCTTACTATATGCATCTTATAGCGTATTGAAAATATAATACGTGGGTGAATTTAATCTAAACTTTAAATAAACTTAAACATAATATAACAATTTCGTCATTCATAAGCTCTTGAATTATTTATAAATGAATATATTTAATTTTCATATAAACTAGAGACAAATCTATGAAAAAGGTAAAATCCACTCATTTTATGTTTCCATTGATGTTTTTGACAGGAAACAGTTGAAGGAAGCATTGCAAGAGGGAGTAAGTCCCTTCAAGAAAGCTCATGGTTTGACAACGTATGAGTTTTTTGCTAAGAATCCTACATATTCTGATGTTTTTAATGAAGCCATGGCTAGCAATGGAAATATAGTGATGGAGAAGATGGTTGAGGAGTATGAAGGCCTAAAGCAAGTAACAGAGCTCATTGATGTTGGTGGTGGTATTGGAACTTCGTTGAAAAAGATCATTTCTAAGTATCCACATATTAAAGGGATTAATTTTGATCTTCCTCATGTTGTTTCTGAGGCACCAGCACTCCCAGGTACCCGTAACTCTTAATGTGGCTCTCAAACATCTACTAATAATTAATGGTTTCTTATAAACAAGAAAGTAATAATATTATTCTCTTTTTACAAATCAAGATAACTTGTATATGATATCTTATAATAAATTTTAAAATTTGTAGATAACAACTTTAAATTGAGGTTTTTTATGTCTATTCAATCTATTTTATGTTGTATTATTTTGAAAAATTGATAACTATGGTGAATTACAAAAAAATGATACATTAAATCTCATTTTGAACTTTATTTTTAAGCTTTTAAAATAAAAAATAATAATAATGAACCAATTTTTGTGCTTCATTTTTTTTTGTTGTCAACTATCAACTAATAAGCTCTGAATTATATATAATTTTGTGTACAACTTTAAAAGCAATTTAAAAATGAGTTAATAAAGACTAGAAATCATAACAAAAATTGAATTTATTTTCAATTTTAGCAAGATCCTAAATGAAATCAAAGCGGTTTAATTATATTTATTTTCCTAAACGCTTATTATCCCTCAAAATATTACTATTAGATTTTACATTGAGTTAAGTTACTCATTTATTGATTTATAAATGACTTTTTTAGGTGTACAACATGTTGGTGGGGACATGTTTATCATGATACCAAGCGGAGAAGCCATTTTCTTAAAGGTAATTAAACTGATATTAAAAGATTAATATTTTTCATAGTATTTAACATTGAATCAATGAAATAATATAACTAAATAGTTAAAAATATTAAAATTGGCCTACCAATACCATTTGACAATACCTAATTTAAGCATGTTTGATTACATTAAGATGAATTCTTAAAAATAACTTTGGGATGGGATATGATTTCTCATGTGTAACAAAAGCATTTAACAACATAAATTCCATATTGAAAAAAAAAAGTTTTTGATATTAGATTATAACATGGTCTATTGTTTAAAGTGTTGATATTAGACACATGGTTATGTTGGCTCCAATTCATCATATTGTTTATACACTTAAAATAAAAATTATAACGAGTTTTCTTTATTAAATACAAAAAATTATGACTCAAAATTCTTACTATAATTATATTATCTTCTTATAATATGAATTATTTAACATATACAATAAAAACTGGTGGACTTTTTTTAACATAAACAATGTTTTTGCAGTGGATTCTTCATAATTGGAATGATGAGAAATGTCTGCTAATTTTAAAAAATTGTTGGAGGGCATTGCCAACTTATGGAAAAGTGATCCTTATGGAGCACATTCTGCCGGAGTTTCCTGAAGCAAATATAACTACGCAACAAATATACACCATGAATATGATAATGACAATATATTTTGAAGCAAAAGTGCGGACTGAGAAAGAGTATCGATCATTAGCTCACAAAGCAGGGTTTTCTGAATTCAAAATTTTGTGCAAGGTATTTGATTATCATGTAATGGAGTTTTTAAAATGACATATGCATGAAAAAAAACATATCTCAAGTTGAACTCTTATTAAGAAAAAATAAAATTAGATGCAATGCTTCGAATTAACCATTGTTATTGCATTTTATTTTTATCACAGAAAATTATTACATATATATATTTTTTAATTCCTAATTAATTTTATAAAATTATTAAATGAATAAATGGCCTTTTTTAATTCCTAATTAATTTTATAAAATTATTAAATGAATAAATGGCCTTTTTTTAGTCAATAAGTAATTATTCAAGTAACATCATTTCTTACAAAAAAATAGCACGGACTTAATTCCCAATCAAAATTAAGTAGTTATTAAAAAAAAAAGATGTTGACAAGTTTAATTAATTGTTTAAACTAATTGAATCAATTATCACCAACTAGCAAGAAATGGTTTAACTTATGTAGCATTGATGGTTGCAAAAGTTATAACACTAATGGCACATAATTAATTGTAACTTCATAGTCCCTATACATGTCAACCTTTTGTCAACCAATGAAATGTATAGAAAAGAGAAAAAGCTTTATATACTCATATTTTTTCTATCGTATGTTTTTTTTGTCAAGTAGGCATTTCAACAGTTTCACATATTGGAGTATAAGTGTGGCGATGTAGCATCACTTTTCTTATAGTATCCCTACTTTATATTCACGAAATAAGGTAACTAGCAAAAATATATTAAATTCACTTTCTTAAAAAAAGAATTTGGAGTAAGGTTTAATTACGAGTTTCACTAAAATTTTTACCATGCTATTTCTTGTATTTTTTTCCCTTCCCCACCTAGGAATCCTCTGGTAATTCCTCCTTATGATAATTCTTACTTTTTTTATTTATCTTCATGGACCCCATCTTAAGGTGGTGGGTCCTTTTTTACTCCACCCATGTCATACTTTGAATTCTCCTGTCTATCTAATCTCCTTAAATATCTTTTTTTTCATAGCTATCTCACTCTTAGCTTCTCTATGAAGTCTCTTTCAATCACTAATCTTAATTCTTTCATACCACTATGTTTTCTTCATTTCCTTCAATTTTTAGTGTTATTTTTATAATAGCACCTCTATTTCTCTAGGAAACACCTCTTATGTTTAGTATTGACATATGAAAAGTAAGCTCCTCAACCGGAGAGGTATTGGAAGCATTAAATCAACAAATTTAGAGATTTTTCTCTTAATTTCTCAAACTATCTTAAAGTAAGCTTTGTGATATCTACTAATAAACTTGGAATTGGTGTAAATGATTTGGTATTGGCTATAATTAATTATTATATTAATAACATCCATAGTTTGTTTTCTTTCCTTCTTTGACTTAAAAAATTTATGAAATCTCAAAAGTGTTCTAGATCATCTTGTTCTCAGATGATTTTTTATTTTTGTATAAGGTTACTTAATGAAAGACTTTGAATATAGTTTAAATGTTTAATTGGTTTGTAAATTGTAAGCCTTTTATATTCAAAAAGTAAACTTAGGGTTTGAATCTCATTAAGGAATTTTGTTATACATCCTTTGTTTAATTAATGACTCTAATTTTCTTCAATGTTGTTAGCATGATGATAATATACTAAATGTTTCTAGTAAGATATGAATTTCACTGGTTACTAATAATTTCATAACTTTAAATACATTCTTATCTCATTTATGAAGCATGTTTCTCTTAATATTCACGATTCCATATAAAAAAGCTTATGCAATAGGAAATCCTCTATGTAACATTATTGTGTAATACTACTGCTAAAAATAATTTTCTCTCATTATCATTCTTTTGAATCATATGGTTCCCCACTCCAGGCTAAATATAAAAGTTATATTAGAGTAATACCACATAGAAATAGTGTGTATTACTACTTTTATCCCTAATCCTTTAACATAGTTTAACCAACTTCTTATATTTCTCATGTATTCTTTCCTATAGCAAAAATATATATACAATTGAGCACACAAATTTTATTTAATAATATTCTTCTTTGATCGTCATCAATAGATGCTTCTAAAACATCCCCACACTCTTAGTTTTTTGCTTCAGATCTTATTAATTCTATTAATCTTTTCACTACTTTGCTCTTAGCTATATTAAGAACTCTCTTTGCCTTTAATCTTCTAAAAAAAAGATAATACATGACTAAATAAGAACATTTAACACTTCAGCATAGTTCTGCCCAACTATCGCTTCATGTAAAATACTAAAAGTGGATAATTTATTACATTAGGGTGCTAATGTACATTGTAAACCTTATCTTATTTATTTATATGAATTAATGGATAAATTTAAAGCCAATGAATATCCAACTTCAATCTAAGGAATTTATAAATCATTTCATGTGAAGATTTATATAACTTTAGCACTTTCAGTGATCATAATATTTAGATTAAGTTGGATACATCTTTAATTCGCCTTTTTCTTCTTTTTTACTAATGCCCAATTTATCCATGACAAGATATGAGCAAATTATTATAAGCTTTACATCATCTTAATTCAGGTTACAACCACAAAACATAACAAAAAATCTCTTAAAAATAATCTATTAATCTTTATTTATCTTTTTATTTTTTATAATCTTTTACTATGTGTATTCCTTTTATTTGAAAATTAAGGGTTCTCTCCCAACACTTAACTTGATATATTTTAATAATTATATTTTTATAGCAGATCCATATATCCTCTACTTACTAATCTCTCCTACATTTGGTAAATTAAGTCAACCTAACTTGATCTCAAGTTAAGTGTGAGATTGATAGCTTTTTCCAATAGTTAATGGATAATTTTTTTAAAAAATTTCCTTTTATAAAATTAGTCCTCTCTATTCGTTGACAACTTCTCCTTAACTATCTATATGGGCCATTTCATTCTTCATGATGAATATCCTTCTTTAAAACCTTCGGGATACCTTATATTGACCTCAAGGGTGCCATTTATTAAGATCTATTTATTTAATCTCAACCTTACTTGAACTGTAAGATAAGTTATAATTAAGTGAGCTTGTCTAGCATAGCTCTTGATGACTTTAGATCATGCATTACCCTTTTGTCTACATGGAGAAAGCCATCATAAACACTAACAAGTTGGTCTTCTTTGATTTATCCTAGCTCAGAGTGTATGTGAGTCAAGTTGACTCATAAGACGGTTAGAGCTCAGCTCAATAAGTAGCACGTGAACTGAGCTCAATAAGCTAATAAGTCGTAAGACAACTCATTTAACTACAGCTCTATTTGTTAGCTCGTAAGACAACTCTATTTAAAAAAATATTAATATAAAATATATTAAATTTGAAGACTTTATTTTTAAAGCATTGAAAATATTTAAGAAATAATATTTTGTATTTTATATTAAGATGACTTTGGATTTCTCTCTTATTGCTCATTCTAATTATCATTTTATTATACAACTATTTTAACTTATTATTATTTTCTCTCTTTTATAATGGACATGTTGGCTTGTGAGTCGACACAAATCCATAGACTTAAGCTTAAGCTCAATCTCAAAAAAAAAAAATTAAACAAGCTCAAGCCGAGGGTTGCTCAAGCTCGACTTGACTCGTTTACAACCTTAATCCTAGCTTAATTGTAAGTTTGTTAGTTTATATTAAAATCACATTTGGTCATCTCAATTCAGTCAGGCTCCTAGTATTTATTTCTTCTATGCTTAGTACTCCTAGTGCCCCTAGGTGGTTCTTGACCTTTGTTTGGTTCCATCTTCTACCTATAGTTTCAAGAGAGCTTTGAGACCCTAGAAAGCTCACTTCATGCAGTTGGCAGCTCAGTGATAAGTTCACAATGGAGCTTTGGGAGCTCAGGTTCAATCTAATCATGGGTTTGGATAAATTAATGATTGCCTTGTTGGGCTCACTTGAAAGAAGTAAACTAAGAATAGAAATAATTCAAAATTACAAGAAAACTTAGGAACCATAAGGGAGAAGTCAAGAGAAGTTCAATCAAGTAGAGAGAAGTGATGATTGAGGGACTTCGTGAGATTGTGTGTTTGTATCTTCAACCTTTTCGTGAGTGAAGAAAGGAAGAGAAGTTCTAGAATTCTTATTTTGTGCTTTTAAATTTATCTTTGTAAGACTTTTGTACTTTGTTGACCTCACTTTTGGTTGAGGTCTAGAAAACTTCTTTAGTAGCCTAGGTCTAGCCATAGGACTTTCCTATTGACTAGTCTTAGAAAACTAGAAGAGGTACCCCACTATTAGAAAATCAAAACTCTTCTTTTTTATTCAACTTGAAATTCCACATATTGATCTTAACCTCTAGCATTTAGTAGGTAAGATCATTATAAGAGAATTTAAGAAGAATCCCTACAGGATTACTTGGCTTTAGGGTTGACCCGGGGTGTTGACTTGGAACTAAGATACACCACATCTTCACAATACATTAATCCATGGTTCATTTAGAACGGATATCTATCCAATTCTATGTGAAACGTTTAACTTGGTATTTTGCCCCTAGGCACCTCCAAATTACCTAACTGCCCTTGGGACCCAAATTTGGCTAATATTCCCAAATTTTGCCAAAATACCCAAAATTGA